AGCCGGGGCCCCCGCGGCCGCCGCAGCGCTTCCGTGGAATCCCTCATAGAAACGTGAATGCCGTCCTCTGAGTCAGCCAGGTCGCCGACAACATCGTGACAAAGGGGAAAAGGCAAAAGAAAAAAAAAAGCATGCTTTTTGCAACACATCAAACTAAAGTCGTATAATTATTCGTCTGTTTGGCACAGGGCGCGTATCCGCAGAGGCTGAAAGAAATCCACATCATCAACGCGCACCCTTTCGTCAACAAGAGCATCAATCTGTTCCGCTCTTTTATGAAGGAGAAGATGAGGAACCGGGTAAGAAACGCGCCTTTTACCATACAAAGATATAAACAAAAAACGAAAACAAAACTGTGCACGCCCCGCCCGCGGGCAAGGAGTCCACTGCCAGTTTTCTTTTCAAAAAAAAAAAAAAAAGCGGACCAAGGTGATAGCAATATGACATTGTCTGACGCCTATCTCTCGCCCTTTGCAGTTCATAGTGCACTCGAGCCTCGAGTCGCTCCACCAGTACGTGCCCGCCGACCTGCTGCCGGCCGAGTACGGCGGCGGCCCCCGCACCGTGGAGAACCTGTGCGACCAGTGGAGCAAGGCCCTCGAGAGCTACACCCTCTACTTCCAGCAGCAGGAGGGCGTCAAGGCGGCCACCGGCAAGGCGTCGTCGCACAAGACGTCGTCGTCGTCGCCGCAGGTCCAGCCCGTCCAGAACTCGTTCCGGAACCTCGGCCTGGACTGAGCCGCCGAACGCCGCCCTTCCCCCGAGGCCTCGCCTCCCACCCTGGCCTCCCCTCTCCTCCTCCCCGTCGTAGCCGTGGAGGAGGCTACTGCTTGACTGTGATCCGTAGGTGTGCGATTAGAGAGAAGTGAGAGCCACTGAACACTGCAAAAAAGTTGTAATCGTATTTATACGTATTTATATATTCTCGCTTCGATATGAATTCAGATGTTTTCTCGTGTGCTTGACTGTGATTACTTAATGCTTCAGTTCCTTCTCTCTTTGTTTTCTTTTCGTTGTTGTAATAAGTTAGTTTGTTGTTGTTGTCGGGCCTCTCATATCCATTATTTATGTTTCATCATGTATGTGCATCTAGCGTTCTTTTACTATCCTATTGTCACTATCTCTTGAACTAGGGTAAGATTAGTCATGACTATACCACACACTCCTTGAAATCATTTTGCAAGACTTCGATAGTGTGCTTAGGTTGGTGCAATCGCACTCGGTAGAGTGTGTTGGCAAAGCCTACTCGTGATGGAGCGTGGGTCTATGGTTTTGATGAATATGACCAAATATAGCTTGTGAGAAATGTGCGCTTGATGGATGGATTATCCTCGATAGGATTAAGAATTATCGCATTAAGTTTTTTTTTAAATTGTACATGTGTATGATATATTTAATTATTTTTTCTAGTGTAAGCCAATAAACGTAATCTGTCGACAGAACGAATCGCATCAATTATTGACTCACTGCAGCGTTATGCCAGAGATCCCCCGTACGAACGTCCTGCAATCAAGGAGGCAGTAGTGACTGACTACCCGGGAGGACACACTTCCCGCTACACACCGACCGCACACATCCCGCGCCTCTGGGGGTTTCCCCTCGCGTGTGCCCCACAACACTTACCGGCTGATCGGCGCAGCTGCATCACGTGCGGCACGTCGTGTGCTCCAGGACGCCTTTTACTCAATGGGACAATATTTATTAGAGCAAACAAACATCTAATGGATTTTTTAGTGAAAACAAAAGCTACGTCGAGGGACGTATCGTGAAAGCAGATGATACAAATTTAAGGATATGTCTGTGCCCTAATTTTCTCTCATATTTTGCTGTTATTTGTTTATGGCTGTTTGTCACTTTTAGCAATTGTTTTCTTGCAATTCAACGGACTAGCGGCATGGCATAGAGGAAGAGATAGGATAGGGGGCAGCAGGCAGCAGGCAGGCCGGGCGGCGTCCGTGGCTCAGTATTGTTGGGTATTGTTGTGGGCACGGGCGGCGGGCGGCGGGGTTGGCGACTTCTCGCGCCCCTTATACATCTGGGTGACGTCATGCGCTTTGGTTCTCTGCCCTTCTCGAGAGTTGTCACGCGCTTCGCCTCGGAGCGCCTTCCAGATAGGCAACCCTCCTCCCTCCATGCTCCCCGGTGCGACTGGCGGCCTATCTGCCCCTGTCGACTCCCGGCTAGAAATCGGCCCGCCGCCACGGCGAGCCGAACCGCACCCGAACGGCGAGGGGACAGGAGGTTTTCGGGATCAGGTGTCAGACGGTTTTGAGATTTCGCCTTGGACAGTTGTCCGGAAGAGTTTCTGCTCGTTCTCATTGTCACCATGTGCTCGCCGCCCACGTCAATCATCTGCCCTGCGGGTGCGTCTTGATCCCCAGCATCAAAAGGTCAACTACTTATGGGCAACCATTTAAACCCTTATTCTCTCCTTTCCATAGGGCTTTTTGTACCGGGCAACCATCAACCTACTATGGAGTAGATATCTCTAGAAGGCCGCCCCATGACCTTGATGCCCTTGACCTTTGACCTCCAGCCACCTGCCGACCGAATTCACCATGGAGTTAATCTGCAAGATGTTACTCCATTTGAGAAACTATCTCTGGTTTCCTCCTCTACAATTACCTCCCTGAGCATC